TCCACTTTATCCATCCCATGCTTAATTTTATACATCTCAATCATTTCCCCCCTCAGGTAGCCTTTTCTTTGTACTAAAGAGCCCCAAACACTGTAGTCTTTCCTCATAAGGGAGGTGTCCTAGCCCAGTCATCATTTTAGTCACTCTCCTGTTCCGGTTCTACTATGGCTTTTTTGAGGTGCAGCAAACAGAACTGTGTGCAGTACTCCAGGTGCGACATTGCCAGCGTTTTGTACAATAGCATTATAATGTTGGCTGTTTTATTTTCAATCCCCTTTTTAATGATACTTAGCATGGAATCGGCCTTCTTCACTTCTGCTGCACACTACCTTAGCACTTTCATTGAGCTGTCAACCAGCACACCAGGATCTCTTTCCTGATCCTTAAACAGACATTCTCCTGTTTGAACCCATCCGCTGATAACTAAAGTTTTGATTTTTATTTTTTTTTTTGCCCCAGTGTGCATTACTTTACAATTTATTATATTGAAACACGTTTGCCATTTTGCCACCCATTCTCTCAGTTTGGAGAGATCCTTCTGGAGCTCTTCTGAATCCCTTCTGGTCTTTACCACCTGGAAAAGTTTCATGTCATCTGCAAACCTGGCCACCTCACTGCTTATTCCTATCTCCAAGTCATTTGTGAACAGGTTGAAAAACACCAGTCCCAGGACAAATCTCTGGAGCACACCACTTTTCACCTCTCTCCATTGTGAAAATAGTCCATTGACACCTACTCTTTGTTTTCTGGTTCTCAACATATTCTCAGTCCATAAGTGGACCTGTCCTCTTACCCCTGACTGTGGAGTTTTCTCAGCAGCCTTTGGTGAGGGACCACGTTAGATGCCTTCTGAAAATCTAGATAGATAATGTCCACTGGTTCACCCGCATCTACATGCCTCTCTCTCCATTGTGAAAATAGTCCATTGACACCTACTCTTTGTTTTCTGGTTCTCAACATATTCTCAGTCCATAAGTGGACCTGTCCTCTTACCCCTGACTGTGGAGTTTTCTCAGCAGCCTTTGGTGAGGGACCACGTTAGATGCCTTCTGAAAATCTAGATAGATAATGTCCACTGGTTCACCCGCATCTACATGCCTGTTGACTTTTGATGCCTTCTGAAAATCTAGATAGAGAATATCCACTGGTTCACCCGCATCTACATGCCTGTTGACTTTTTCAAAGGAGTCTAAACTGTTTGTTCCTTAATAACCCTTGGGTGGATGCCATCTGGGCCCGGTGACTTACTGATCTGCAATTTATCAGTTAGGTCTAAAACTTCCTCTCTTTTAACCTGTATCTAATGTAATTCATTAGTCAGGAGGGGCTGTTTGGACAGTGGAATGTGCTCAAAGTCTTTTGTTGTGAAGACAGATGCGAAGAACTCATTGAATTTCTCTGCAATCTCCAAGTCCCCCTTTCCCTCCCCTTTCCCTCCCTCACCATCCAGAGAGCCAACTGCTTCTCTGGCATGTTTCCTGCTTCTAACATATTTAAAGAAGCTTTTATTATTCCCCTTTATATTGCAGGCCATACATTCCTCAAAGTCTTTCTTTACCTTTTGTATCATCTTCTTACATTTCTTTTGCCAGAGTTTGTGTTCCTTTTTATTTTCCTCATTTGGGAAGGATTGCCATTTATGGAAGGACACCTCCTGTCCCTTTAAAGCCTCTCTAACTCTGCTTGTTAACCATGCCCACACCCTCTTGGACTTAGCTGAGCCCTTCTTTCTTTGCAGTATACACTTCTGCTGGGCCTCTACTACCATTGTTTTAAACATACACTCTGAAGAGACTGGATTCATTTTACCTTCCCTCAATGTAAGTGGCAGGAACCCTCATTCTTGCTTTTCTATTTTGCTGTCAGAACCTTAGTCTTTAATGTGAGCAAAGCTAAACTTGCACTTTTGCCTAGAATGTAAATATTTCACAAAGGTATAGCATAAAAAGACAAGCACAGTCATGTAATCTACTTTGCACAGCCTTCTGTTCAATGGAAATCAGTGTTGAATCCCTTTCTTACACTGATTCTAGAAATTAATTTTTACTAGTGCAATGTCTGTTGCATTAGTTCAGTGGCACTGTTGAATGCAGACTCTAAGTTCTTGCGCCATTGTTATTTCTGGATGGAAATATGTTACGGCCTTTTTTTCACATGATCTCAGTTTTTGATGGTCTAAGACGGAAATACACTTCAGAAGTTGCTATATCATTTAATTTTAGGGGTCTTCTGTTGGAGATGGCATATCATGAGAAGAGATAAAGCATCTGTTAACCTTCTTTGGATGTAACGTTAAGCCATTGTTTTAGTATTATGAGAAGAAGCAGTGATTCTCCAATTTGTGCCTGCCTTATCTGCTGCAGCATTATGAAGGAGCCATAGATATTTCAGTACAGCTTTAGAATAAACTTGACTGTCTATAACATCCTAACCTAGAGAAGCTGTGGTTACGTATGCTTCAGTGGAACAAACCAAATGCAAACCACAGTTTATCAAATTATCTTGTTTCAGCTTACCAAAGTTGAGATTAATAGTTTAGAGTTTGGATTATATAATGAACTGTGAGACAGTTAAAATGAAATCACTTTCTTATGACTACATCAGAGGAGAAGGGAACCATGTAGGCCCAAGTATTACTGTGGCTTGTTCTTGTAACACTGCAACCAAATATAGCATTAATTGAACAGATAGATTTCTGTGCAGTACATTTGAAAAATATATTATTGTTGAGTGAGCAAGACTAAAAATAAATCTTGGACACTGGAACGTAAGAGGTCTTTCTGCCAAAAGAATGGTTAGCAAACATTAGTGTGTTCTTAATCTTTAAAACAACTTTCAGTGTTTAATACCCCGCCTATCTGCATATTATAATTCTTTCTTAGCCTACTTAATTCAGTGAAAAGATGAGAAATAAGCCGTCACTAAGAAATATACCACAATAAGCTAACACAAAGTTTGCTTCCGTAAAAGAATATAAAAAATGTCTGTAATAATGATATTCCTACTTATTATGTATAGATTTCTTCAAGTAGAGACAGTTAATTATAGCAGATAGCAGTGCAGAGAAGACAGGACATGAAAGTAATTTCACATTTTGCATTGTTTTGCACTTAGTTATGAAAGCTGATATAATGTAGGCAAGACGTTATGTAGGATTTGATTTCCCTTCTTCTTCTCCTCCTCCTCCTCCTCCATCATCTAAATTATATCAACCACTAATTGCATCTCAGAGGTTAACAGAAATCTTACTTCCCATGTATGGACTTGTATTGCATTACATAAAACAGTTTTAAAATCTGTTTGTTTATGGAGCTTTGACAGATGTAAAGCTGTTTGCATGCAATGTGGCCAAGAATATTGGTCTGGAACCAGTTGGCAGAATTTCTATTCCTCATCTTGAAATTATGGTTTATTTACTGCCAAATCCTGAATGTCTTCATGATTTAAAAGAACATTTATGAATAAGAATCTTGAAAACAATGCTTTATTTTTATGCTTGTTGGAACAAAAAGGGTGTGGTGAGGTAGTGAATCATTTATGCTTCCCTTATATTTCTGTTCTTAAACTTGGGGTGTGTGTGTTTCTTCTATCTAAATTATGTCTATCTAAATTTTATGGTGTTCCAAACGATCAGTAGCATCCACATGGATCTGTAAAGTGACTGAATAAAGCTATCATCCTATTCTCTCTTGCATACTCTTTCTGAATGTTTTTATTTATTAATTTAATTTAATTTATACCCCGCCTATCTGGACTACCAGACCACTCTAGGCTTTCTTTCTTTTATTAAGAAAGAGTTTTGACTGAACATACTCCAATGTATATCTGTGTAAATACATTTAAGGTCAGAATGTCTGTGATTCTCAAGGTGCAACTACATTGGCAAACCAAACCAGAGTGATTAGGTTTGCTTTAGGTGATCACTCAAAGACCCTGAGTTGTTTTGGTGCCAGTGTCCACACTGAGCTCTCAGTCCAATGTGGTTTGATCCATACCCACATCCCTCCTTCTCTTGATACCACCCTCCTGCTGATCATTGGTTCTCCTTGTATGGCCTGCCATTAAGCTGATTGTTGCACGGGAATATGGGAAAATGAACAGCTTTCCAAATTGTCCATACACATACAGACTTCCACATACTGTGGAAACATTGTAGGCTGCTGGAGTTTGTCAGAGCTGTTTTGATTTTATATAGATTTTTATCCTTTTTTCATCCATACAGAGGTGATCTAGTATTATACTGATGTAGCAATGCAGTGATAAGGTGACATCACTAGACTCGATAGTTTTTTAAAAATAAACAAAATGTACTTTGGGGTGGCTAATGAGAAAGATGGTGGGTGCGGGTGTTCCTACTATCCGAAACACCATGCCCCAACTTACTATGTAACCAGAAAACCAGCCGAAGTCATGCTCCCCAGTTCTTTTATAGTACAAAACAAACAATCACACAGGCAAACACAATTTGAATCATTGCAGTTAGAAAGTAGAAGCCTCCAACAGCATGGGAAGGAAGTGCAGATTGGAAGGAAAACAGGATGGGATGATTCACATTGACCTTTATATTGTATGATCATTGAAAAGTACTTTGAATTCACCCATGCCAATTCCATAGCAGATTGCAAAGTATTTTCCAGTGTAGTTGCGCACTCATTGTCTTTCTTGTATTCTTTCTCAACACAATGCTTTTCTAGATGCACACTTTAAAAATGCTGTGGGCTACATCCCACAGCATATTTTTAGTGTTGATCAAAACAGACTCATGGAAATGAAAAGGATTTGTTAAGTGAACACTGGTGTCTCTCTGCTTTTTAGTGAGTCTACTTAGTTGGAACTAAAATTGGATTTGTGTGGATCACCTCTTAAGTAGATTAAGAATCAAGTTGGATATGCAACTATAAAATCAGCCACATGCCTGAAAACACACCTGACTGTGTTGGAGCAAATGTTTTTAAATTTGCATTTTGTGACTGCTTCGGTTTTCAAAACTAGAATTATTTAAATTGATTTTTCCCCAGAATGAAAGGACCACTTTTTTGTATCTTTTGTATCCTATTACTATTTTTAACATTTTAACTTTTTTTAAAAAAAAATCCTGCTTCCTGCTATTTTCTAGTTGCACTTGCTTGCTGGCTTCACTTTTGGATCTAGTTCTGCCATTATCATATTTGACTGATGAATAGATGCCATTATGTTCAGTCAAAAAAATAAAAATAAAAAATCTCTTAAAAGAGGGAACTGGAACATAAGTATAGGAGCCATGGAAACCTTTACTTTCTCAGCATGACAGTCATAACAAATCAAAAACTCTTTTCACTTTGTAGTATATTATTAATGCAATATTGTATATAGTTGAATTACATTTTGAGATGGCTTGTAATTCTATGCTGCTTCTCAGTGTAAGGCACAAGCTGCAGGTGGGCTACCAGCCACTGACTCTATACTGCCATTGACATCCTCCCTGATTTTGAAATTTTGCAGAGGTGTACAGACTCATGACGTGCTGCTACAAATATGTGTTGGGCTCCTTTTACATGGAATGCTGCGAATTATGCGGCTTAATCAGTAATGCAAGAAATGAACCTAATGTTTTCAGTCTAAGAGCCTTACAGCTAAATGAGAAATGCTTTTTGATCTAAAAATAGTATTTCTTAATGCAACAATTACCCTCTTGAAGAAAAGCAGTGATACTTCAAAGGTAAAATCTCTGTACAGCTGCCACAATAAAGTGCCTCTTTATGAAACAGATTAATATTGGATATTATAAACATACTTTTAATGTAGAAGTATACTTACCACAAAGTAACAGTCCAGATCACCCAAACTTAGGACTCAGATTCAGCAGTAGGAAAGTATAAGAAGAGTAGAACTATGAAACAATATTTTGAATGGAAATGGGTGCTTCTGTGGAACTCTACTCTCCACTGCTTCTTGCTCATGAGTGCCTTAACACTTGATTAAATTTTATTGACATCTCACCCACCCACCCCTTATTAGTCCTCATCCTAAGCACAGTGAGTTCTTTAAATAGCCATTCAATTTCACTATGTGATGACACCACAAAAGGGCAAGTGAGGCTAATAAATTTTGGGCATAAATCTTCCTGCATTGCCTCATCCTTGCTCTGAATTAGATGTGTTATGTTGTGTAGTTAAACTGTGGTAGAGCTGTAGTCAATAACATCCATAGAAAGACTCCAAATAGGCCACAAAAAATAGGGACAATGTGACCACTCTGCCAATATTTTCATCCATTTTAGAACCTCAAAAGCCTATTCATGAGGCTGTCAAATGTCTTGAAATTTATTCTTTGTTTCAGATCATCATTGCTTAGTATATAAAATGTAATATGTGTGCAGAATTTGGATTCTTTTAAACAGAATATGTATATTGTCTCGAGAGACATCATACACATTTTGTATGCTTTTAACAAAAACCTGTCCCGTTTGCTGCAGTTTTTGAGTGAATAACCTAGCTATATATATATGGTTAGAGTTGGTTTTAGCAGATGTTTGAGGAAAATGTTGTGATGGTTACTGACTTAGATGTGTTTTTAAAAAGTGGTTAGCCATTTGGATTCTATGATGGTTAGCTAACTATATAAGTCATATTAACTGATGCATACTATACTGCATTAACTGAACCTTCACATACAGAAGAAGTATACCTCTGAATGGTGTAAAAATTGTAAAGTCTGGTTGCAAGCCTTAGTGGCAAGAAGGCTGCAAATGTCAGTTGATGCTGCTCTGATTGTCACAGCAATGGCAGCCAAATATATTTTCTCCCATCATTTTTGCCTCCGTTGCCCATCTCATGCCCTTGTATATTTTCTTTAATACAATATTTATGTATCATAGTAAGCATCAGTTAATATGACCTATGATTAATTATCACAGAATCCAAATATCTAATCATGTAGTTTTTTTAAAAAAATCCCACCTCCCTCTTTAACAGAGACCAAAATCCTGCTGTCACTGCTGCCTCCAGTGCCTTTTCTGGGTCAGTGTGGGGCTTCCCAATTGTGGCTCAGAGAGTTCAGCTGCCATCGTGAGGGTCCAGGTGGTGGGGAGATCGGTGCTTACCTGCCACGGCCCTTTTGAGGAGCAAAGTTGACCCACTCTCCTGTCCAGCGTTCTTAGAGGAGCAGTGGCAGGTTCTCTTCCAGGACACAAAAGATTGGGGGCGACTCTTCCTAGCCCTCTGACCAGCCTTCTGATCCAGACTCCAATGATCGTTCTGCCTCTTCTTCCTTGTTTTCCTTTATCCTTGGCTCCCACCGCCCTGCTCCACCTGCAGCCTTACCCTCCAGCTTCTGCTGCTCATTCTCACTCCCACCAAGGTGCTCATCAGCAAAGTGTGTATCCCAAAAGTGCCTTGAAATTTGAATAATAAAGTCGAATGTTACTGATTGATTCAGACTCAAAAATATTGTCAATCTGGAAATAAATTACAAAATATGTACATGATAAGAAGGGGGAGTTTATTGTACATTTTAAAATTTCAGAAATTTAAGAGAAGCAAGAGATAATGCTGTGTCTGAAAAAGAGAGAGCTATAACAGCTGAAAAAGATGCTTTAGGAAAATACGAGCAACTTTTGGAACAGTAAGTATTTTCACTTTCCTTTTTGAATGCATATTTTAAAAAGCCATTAAATAGGTGTTCATTTTATTTTATTTTATTTTGGAAAATATCAAAGGATGGGGATTATGTGTGTGTTACATGCCATCAAGTTGATTCTGACACACTGTGACCCTAGAAGGGTGTCCAAGGTAGTTAGATATGTAAGGAGTGATTTTTTTCCATTGTCACCTCCCAGTGAATTTTCATAACTGACGGGATTTGAACCTCTCCTCATCCAAAATGCTATCCTCTATATTACAGTAAACCTCCGTATTTGTTCATAATTGCCAGTGTATTTCAAATTTTCATCTTGTCTTTCCGCCATGTCTAGCTTTTTATGTGGAAAGTTATAATAAACTGAAAGAACCAGTTTAAAAAATTGTAGTTTTAGTAGAAAAATGTTTTTGATAAGCAGCTGCATTATTTAGTGGGGGAAAATATGTTAATCTTTTAAAAATGTGTATTTTTGTAAAATTCTCTTCATAACCCTAGTTCTGTCCAGATGCGTTGAATGACACATGTGAAGGATACTGCCTTGGGAAAGACTGGCCATAACTAGAGTGTTCAGTATTGGAATCTTGACATTCATGAAGATTAGGGATTTCCTCTGATTCCTCCCTCCTCAGCTATTCTTTGGCAGAGTGGGTATTCTGCATCATAAGATTTAATTTGTTTCCATAATTATTTTTTAAAGTAATTATGACTCTTTCCCCTCAGTTGGCCAACAGCTCCATTTTCTTAAGTCCTCAGAAGTCAGTTATTGCTTCATTCCTAAACTCATTATATTGCTTTTAGAACAAAATCAATCATACATTTTTGAAATGTGACAACAAACATGCTGTTGAACATGTCTTTTCTCTTGGGAAAGAATTTGGGAAGACAATCCTGCTTTATTGTTAGTCATAATTATGTTACTTACAATATTGATTTTCATGAGATTATTAGTGGCAACATGAAAATGCAGCTGTTTTTAAATGACTAACATCACTTGGCTTTATGTGCCATAAATCCATTTTGTAATTTTGTGACAGACATTGTGATGATTTTGTGCTTTAGTGAATTTTTAAAACACAACTATACAAATTAAGAAAATATGGTTGTGGCATTCATACCATGGCCCCTGCTTGTTTCACCAAACACAGAGCTCACACGGGTATCCCAACATGTCCTTTAACACGCTGCCACCCGTTGATCTCTTTATCAACCTATGTTTCCTATGAAAGACTGAGGTCCCTTCAGTACTGAACTTTTAAACAGAAACAGGTTTATTGATTACAAGTTGTTTTAGGACTAATTCTTAAGCACATTCTTAAAGTTACAAAAAGCTCCAGTATTTTACTTTAACCTCTTCTATCTTATTTAATACAGGTCACACTCTGACTAATCACTCCTTAAACACTCTCTCTCCCTCAAACCCCCAAACTCTTTCTCTCAAAACTCTGTCTCTCACTGAACTAACTAGACTCCAACTCACCCCTCCCTTCTAGTTAATCTGGCTCCACCTCCCAACAGCTCTCATTGGTACATGCAAATAATCTTCTACCTGAGCCAAAGCAGGGTGATCGCTATAGTGGTATATATTAGCATATTCCTAGGAAACAGTCTTTCTTGACTATATAACAGTAAACTAGTAATATAAACATATGGTGAGAATGTAATTACAGTATTGGAGAAAAAGGAAATCAATGTGTTAGAAGATAGGTAACCTACTAGGTCTCCTTCATGGATTGCTGCCTTGTTGTGGTGAAGGGGCTTGAGTAATTCAGAAATGCTATGGGCTATGCTGTGCAGGGTCACCCAAGACGGACAGGTCATAGGGGAGAGTTCAGATTAAACGTAATCCACCTGGAGTAGGAATTGGCAAAACACTCCAGTATCTTTGCCAAGAATACCCCATGAACAGAAACAAAAAGCTAAAAGATATAATGCTGGAAGATGGGACCCTCAGGTTGGAAGGCGTCCAACATGCTACTCAGGAAAAGCGGAGGACAAGGACAAGTAACTCCAGAGCTAATGAAGTGGTTGGGCCAAAGCCAAAAGGACGCTCAGCTGCAGATGTGTGTGACAGTGAAAGGAAAGTAAGATGCTGCAAGGAAAAATACTGCATAGGAACCTGGAATGTAAGATCTATGAACCTTGGGAAGCTGGAGGTGGTCAAACAGGAGATGGCAAGAATAAACATTGACATCCTGGGCATCAGTGAACTAAAATGGACAGGAATGGGCGAATTCAGCTCAGATGATTATCATATCTACTACTGTGGGCAAGAATCCCGTAGAAGGAATGGAGTAGCCCTCATAGTCAACAAAAGAGTGGGAAAAGCTGTAATGGGATACAATCTCAAAAATGATAGAATGATGTCAATACGAATCCAAGGCAGACCAATCAACATCACAATAATCCAAGTTTATGCACCAACCAGCATTGATGAGGAGACTGAAATTGAACAATTCTATGAAGATCTACAACACCTTCTAGAACTGACACCAAAGAAAGATGTTCTTCTCATTCTAGGGGACTGGAATGCTAAAGTAGGGAGCCAAGAGATAAAAGGAACAACAGGGAAGTTTGGACTTGGAGTTCAGAACGAAGCAGGACAAAGGCTAATAGAGTTTTGTCAAGAGAATAAGCTGGTCATCACAAACACTCTTTTCCAACAACACAAGAGGCGACTCTATACATGGAAATCACCAGATGGGCAATATCGAAATCAGATTGATTATATTCTCTGCAGCCAAAGATGGAGAAGCTCTATACAGTCAGCAAAAACAAGACCTGGAGCTGACTGCGGCTCTGATCATCAGCTTCTCATAGCAAAATTCAAGCTTAGACTGAAGAGAGTAGGAAAAACCACTGGGCCACTCAGGTATAATCTAAACCAAATCCCTTATGAGAGAAGCTTATAACATTGTATAGGAGGCAGCAAAAAAAACCATCCATAAGAAAAGGAAATGCAAGAAAGCAAAGTGGCTGTCCAACGAGGCCTTACAAATAGCAGAGAAGAGAAGGGAAACAAAACGCGAGGGAGATAAGGAAAGTTACAGAAAATGGAATGCAGACTTCCAAAGAATAGCAACTAAACGACTAAACAACAGCAACAAACCTATTAGGTACGACTGCGCCCTAATGTGATCAACATTCATTAAAATTGCATGAGTAAGTTTTAACATAGCCAGCTGATCAATATATTCTGGGTACTAAAAATGTTGCCCTGTTGTTGCTCTAATCATTATTTGATGCATTAAGACATTTATGTATGCCAAACCTGTTTTAATACTGATTTAAGCCTGCTTCCACCCAATCTAGCCACAGGGATACCAATGCTATACATTCATTACAGTGTAAACATTTGGGGAAAGTAAATTGGCAAGTAGTAATTTGGAATAATTTCAGTTTTCAGTAGTTTCAGAATTACCGTATTTTTCGCTCCATAAGATGCACCTCTCCATAAGACGCACCAAATTTTTAGGAGAAGAAAACAGGAAAAAATAATCTGTTTTCTTCACTCCATAAGACTCACAGACTTTCCACCCCCCTGTTTTGTGGGGAAAAGTGCGTCTTATAGTGCGAAAAATACGGTATAATACTTGTGAAACACAGTGTAAAAAACAGTTCATTACTCTCTCTCTCTCTCTCTCTCTCTCTCTCTCTCTCTTTTGGAGCTCCCACCCACATTTTCATTAATCTGTCCTCTATACCTTCTAGATTCCTTCCTGGCCTGTTACAGCCAGTTCAGACACTGTCAGAGTATATGTGAAGTAAGGGGATTTTTGCTTCTCTGTGCATTACTTTATACTTAAATTGAGTTGTATTTGCCATTTTATTGGTCTTACCTACTGTACTTCAGAAATATTCTTCTGGAGGTCGTCACATCATTTGTTTTTACCTACTGGGAATGTGTTTTTTCTCCAGAAAACTTTCCAGAACATTTTCCAGGGCCTTAAATAGAATTTTATTTGATTTAGCACTTATTTGATTTATATTTACTAAAATAACATTTTAATATCCCCAGTCACGTAACCATGTGAACTGAAATATCTGAAATAGTGATTAGAATGTCAAACTTGAAGTGAAATTAGAGGGTCCCAAGTTCAAATCCCCATGCAGCCATGATTATTATAGTGTGACTAATATGGGCCAGGCACACTGTATTTGCCTTGCCTCCCTCATAAAGATCTTGACTTGTAACATACTTTTGTGTACACTTTGTGATGCTAATCATTTGTCACTTAATAGCACAATTACCTTGGATTCTGACTTAAATCTTGCTTAACTACTGTGTATAAGAATGATTTTGCTGGTACGGCCAATTTTGAACTCACCAAGCTTGCTTGAGAATCCAGTGATAATCTAGGACTCTGGAGACCTGTTCTAATCTCCACTAGAAACAGTTCCTAAGTATCTCACATACCTTGAAAACTCTGGGTCACCATAAGCTGGCTATGACTTGATGGCACATAGCAGCATAATAGTGTGGTTGTCTAATATTCCATTGATATCCATTCATTGTTATTAATACATTTTATGAACCATTTTTTGAAAAATCATATTCAATTAAAAATGTAAAGAAAATTCCACATTAATGTTTTTACCATACTGCATAATTTGGTGCTCCCTCTTAGACTCTAGATAACTTGTGCTGCTTTCTTTTAACTCTTGGCCACCTCTGAACAAGTTTGAAAGTGTTCGTCCCAGTGCAAATTCTTGGAGGATGCCAGTTCTTGCATCCCTCCATTGTGATTACTGTCAGTTTGTTTCCACTTGTCAACTTCCTGTTGCTTATTGAATCACTGTTTCTGGATTTCCTTTATCTGCATGCTTATAAATATTCTCAAATGATTCAAGAAGATCTATGAGACATGACTTATTCTTTCAGAAACATGCAGATTTTTCTTCATCAATCTTTTTTACTATATACTAGTTAACTTTATTGTGAATAATGCTCTTTATTAATTTGCCTAGAATCTATTTTATGCTTATTG